CGGGTAAAACGACGAAAGGGGAAGGAGAAAAGTTGGGTCGAGCAGGCCGACAAAAGCGGCTCGAATCCATTCGCGGCGTGGAACCGTTTGTGGTTCGCGAGCTGAAGGGCAGAGAGCGCTCCCTCCGCGCTTCCGCGATAGTTACTCGAAATGCGATCACGAGCTGGCGAAACCGCTCTCTCGGATACCGTGTCCGTGGCTTCGTTGACATGCATACAAACTTGGACAACTTTCGAATTGCAGATCGGCCGCTTGTACAGGGCGGAGTAGAAAACTTGCGAACAGGGTGTTCTTCGATTGGGTCAGCTCAAAGGGCTGGCTCTCTGCATTCTTCGGAGCCAAGAGTGGTTGTTTTTTCGTTTTCGAAGGATTAATCGTTGGAAAATTCTGTCAGGGAAATTTAAAAGTTTCAAAATTTAAGCTTCGAAAACTTTTTAATTTTCATCCGTTGGCTATGTTATGGATTTTTCAGGAAGTAATGTTGAGTAGAATTGAAGAGGTTAGGTTAGGAATATCTGTTTCGTTTCACTTATTCCTTTCTTCTAGAAGAAAATTTCTTGGAATAATTTTTGTTTTGTACAATTGTTCTGTACTCCAAGGTGAAAATTTAGGACTCATTTACGATCTTTTATAGTATATACTTTCGAGATAACGTATTTTTCTTATATTATAATTAGAGAATGGATATTTGTGCATTTATGGAAAATAATTAAAGATCTTACAGAATATAATAATTATTACAAGGTGAAACATGTTTTTATCTCAATTCCATTTCTGTAGTTTTATTTATAATCATTTAAATTTACCTAATCTAAATTGAAAGGATTAGATTAGGTTAGGTTATCTGTTTCGTTTCATTTATTTTTTCTCCTAGAAGAAATTTTCAATTCTTGTTCCATGCAATGATAAATCTTCTAAGGTGAAAACTTTCTACGATGGATATTTATGGAAAATGAAAAATGTTAAAAAATCTACAAAATACACATATTATAATTATTGTAAGATGAAACAGATTTTTATCTCAATTCCATTTCTATAGTTTTAATTGTAATCATTTACCATCTAACAAAAACACAAATATAAGCTTGAAAATATTATTATTTTTAATCTCTTCGTTACGAATACAATAATAAACGTGTAATTTTAAATAATTATTTTGTAATAATCCAAAACAAGTCTTCCGAAACATAAATTTCCAACAAGAGAAAGCACGGATCTATGTATACCGAAGACTGTGCGGACGATATTCTTGGGAAGAACCGATTTATAAACGTCAAAGATCAACGTGCACACGTCTTCGTGCTCTCTTTTACGAACCATGAACCGAGACTCGAAGTGTACGAATAGAACTATCCACGTTTCGAAGCGTCTGAACCCGTCGATGCGTGCACGTTTCACGCATATATTTGTCTTTCGAGTCTGCTTTTATGCCCGCTCGCATTGATCTCGCGCTTTGAACCCATCTCGTGCTTAAATGACGACCGACTGTCGATAAACAGACGTCGATGCGTGTTAAGGGAACAAACGGATGGCAGGCTCCTTGGTGGAAAATAAAGTAATGGGAAAAGTTGCACTTGTTTCGAACAAATTCGAGGCAGGAATTTCTATGCGAGAAAATTTGAACGAATTTTTCGTAATCATTTCATTTTTTGTTAGTTTCGAATTTTTGTATGCCTCATTCGCTTCGTTTCGCGCAAGGTGATGACACGTGTTTATGTTTTATCGAAAGAAGAAAATGCAAAGAGTATAAATGTTTTCATGCGAATTTAGGTTAGGTTAGGTTAGATGATTATAGTGATTTGTTAATGTCAAAAACAAACAACATTAATTATAAACTAAACTGATAATAAATAATAACGAAATTGGGGACTGACTGTTGAAAAAGACTGTTGAACAAAAATTTGCAATATGATTATAATAATGATTATAGCAAAATCTGGCCCAACTATCTCAACGATATCACAAATAAAATTATAATATTCATTTCAAAACACATCTTAATTTTCCCCCTAATAAATATCAGCCGTATCAAGAGTAATAAAAGAATAAATGTTCGAACTATCTTCAACAAACTCGAGCAAACAATGAAATTAAATGCTTCGCGATCACAAACAATGGAACCACGCTTTCTCCGAACCGAAGGGTAGCCAAGAATCAATCACCGAGCAATTTCCACGTGAAAAAGAGAGAGAGAGAGAGAAAAGAAAAAAGAAAGGAAAAAGAAGAAGAAGAAAAGAAAAAAGGAAAACGTCTACGTTTGCCAAGAAGTACGTGAGATAGCCAGAAACGAAGGTAAACTTCGCTCGTCCTCCGAGCGAGCAGGAAGCGAGGAAGATCCAGCGTGGGGTGACAGGGGGATGGGAGCGAGACAGGAAGTGAGGGGGAGCAGGAAGGGGTGGAGACTATAGTCGAAGGTAGAAGTTGCAGAGCGGAGCTAAGTAAGCAAGGTGGCAACTAGTAGGGACACAAGACAAGCTCGAAAAGTTTTAAGTAGCTACGCGATACTACTTGCCCCTCTTGGTCCACTCACCCCTTCCTCCACCCCTTCCTCCCGTAGTAACCACCGCCTGTCTCTATTGCGCCTCGGAGTTTGTCTTTCCAGCGTGTACAAATGCCTTGGAATTGCGTGTGTACAAGCGTGTGCTGCCATTTCCACAGCCCTACCAATGGAACACCGTTTTCCCCCTCTTCTTCCACCGAGAATTCTTTTCTTTTTCTTTTCTTTTTTTTTTCCACCGTCGATGTTTGAGAACGATCTTTCGCGTTTGCCTCCACTCCCCCCCCCCCTAATCCAAGCGATTTCTAAGGTTTTCCTCTTCATGGAAATTTCGTAGTAAAATTTACTTCTTCTGAAATTTAGTTATTTATTTATTTTTTTCTTTTCATTAGAATGTCGATCAGATGATGGAAACATTTATTTGTTAAATTAGATGTGTAAGACGAGATGGCTCGACATCCTACTTTATTTTCCATCGATTTTTGTTTCAGATCGGAAAATTGTTATCGCTGCATCGTCATGCACATGAAGCATCCGAACGTCCTTCAATACAAAGAGAGTACGTTTCGTTTGTGTTTCGTCCATAATTTTTTCTTCCTACCTCTTCTCGTTCCGGATTAATTCGGATACCACCGATTCCTTCTTCTTTTTTCTTCCAGCCTGGTGCATCACGGGATCGTCGAAACCTACGCTCCCCTCGATATGCGGCGATCTGACCAGCGACGCCATATTGATTTCCCTATTCCGCACGGGGGCAGCACCGATGCCGTGCCCCTTCAAGGGACCCCTTGAATTCACGTACAGCCACGGGGAAGCCGAGTGTAAATCTCCTTTGTCAGCCGCGGAGACGTGCACCCAAGAATCCCGATTACTTTTTCGCTATCAAGCGTGTGCCAACGTGTTGTCCTCCGAAAGCGTTGGTAAGTACTTTTCTCTCTCATTATTTTTGTCGATTTCAAATTAAACAAAAAATTGTACGTACTGTTATTATTAAAGTTAAAGTAAAAAAAATTGTATCATAAAAGTGCCAGACTCTTTCTTTTCACTAGAAACGAGATATTTATTTAAATGTATTTATATTTTATAAAGGATCGGTTCGGATCGAAGAGCCGTAATTTTTCTCGATACATCGGGTTTGAGAACGGTGACGTTAATTAACACGACACACAGGGGAGAGAATCTGGGACAGTCAATAGAACTTCCACCAAATGATTAACAGCTCTGTCAATTACTGTTTGTCGCCGCTGTATCCCTCGATATACCGATTTTCACCGATTATTATAGCGGGCGAAATAATTCATTCTGCGTGGTGGCGGCGCGGTTTATTAACGGTTAGAATATTTCCGTCCATAATTCTCGCCCCGGACGATTTAGCCTTGCTCGTAAATGGAATCGTTATACGTCGCAGTGTAATTGGGGATGGCTAATGGTGGAGGATTTATGTGATCGATGATGATGAATTTTTCTCGATTGATATCGAGATTTTTATTTCTTTCCAAAAATTCGAAATTTTCGGATTTTTTCGACTTGAACCGACTGACGAGGGAGTTCGATATTTAATTTTTTTTTTTTAAACGTTCCAGACGTGGAGTTGGAGTGTCTGGCCACGTGGAAGGAGAGCAGCACGCACAACCTGGTGGCAAGGTTGCACGCCCCGCGGAAAACCAGCGACGAGGACAGCTACAGATGCTTCATCTACGAGCAAACTTCGAACAATTCGTGGAATTTGGCGCAGAGCGAGGATGCCTCTTGCACGGGATTGATCAGCGTTAAGGAGGCTGCCAAGACGTTCAAAATGAAACAGAGTGAGTGGTAGCTTCGCTCAAAATTATAAACCTCTAATACTTAAAAATAAAAATACTTCTAGACTTGACAAGTTTCACTGAATCCGATTTAAATCCGAACGTACGAACGCCTTCTCTAAGCCAGCCATCAATCGTCTCGTCTAAAAATACACATTTTACAAGCTAACGCTTAACCTATTCCCTATTAAATCGATCGGGAAAAAATCTATCCTACACCTTCGATTAATTCACGGTTGGCATCAGGGTGCATCGACGGTTATCGTTAACCGACTTGGTGCGTCTTGGCACGAGGGAAACCGCGGCCACCTATAGCGCCAGGCTCGAAGAACGTAAACTATGAGGATGTCCATAGACACCGGATCGGATTCTTGGGCGGCGTGCTATCGGCACAGTGAACGGTGGTCGGACGTCAGCTACTTGGGGTATTCCATAGTATCGCATAGCTGCACGTAGCCTTGGCAGATTGCGATGATTCTGGCCTGGTGTAGCCGCGGTTAACCAAATTGAGGCGATGGGGGCAGGGCTCGCGATCCAGCCTCGAACATTCTTGGGATTGATTTTGTACGATGGTTAATCTTTGAACGGCTCGCAGCATGGAATTTTACCGCGGATTCTTGTTAAATGGTTAAAAGTTCCTCCTCCCCCTCAGCTTGGATATCGGATTCCGCCGACGTGGCCGGCTGACCAGATTGGCAGAAATTGGTGTTTCTGAATCCGCGTTTCGAATCTTTATGACAGTAGAATTGCGGATGTTTGTTTTTTCTTTTTTTTTTTTTCGTAAAACGTACGAAATTCTGCACAGTGATGCGTACGAAAATTGTAAATAAATTGTTCGATGCGTGAATTGTGATGTTCGGAGGATAAATTTATGGTAATACTTTTTTTTTAATATTTGTGAATATTGATAGAAAAATTGTGATACAACAATGTGACGCTCTTAAGATTCTTCTTAGTCACTATTCGAAAATTATATTTAATTTCGTTTGAATGGTATTCGGTCTATTAAAATAGTTTGTGATCGATTTCTTATGGATTAAAAATAAAATTATAAATAAATGTTCGAAGTATGGTATTCATGTGTGATATTTAGGATTAAATTTTTTTTACTACTAAAAAAATTATATTTAATCTCATTTGAAATGTTATTCGGGCTAGGAAAGTAGTTTGTGATCGATTTCTTAAGGATTAAAAAAAAAGCATCAAAAGAAGATATCGGTATCCTTTCGCTCGACCACAAAAATTAAGTTTAATCCTGTTCGAAACTTGAAAGTTGCCAGAACTATTAAAGTACTTAGCCGTGCACTTATCCTTATGAAAAAACCATTAAAGAAACAGGTAGTATTTTTTCAATTAAAAACTAAAATTTAACTTTTCGCCCGAACGTTATATTAAAATATCGTTTTCAATAATTTTTCTTCAAAATTACGAAAAATCGCTTAAATCGTTTCACCCCGTTGAAATCAATCGATTATAGAATTCACGAAAGCAATTATTTATATATTACAGCGTTGAAATAAAAAGGAAAAAAAAAAAGGAAGAAAACGTCCGCATTGTAAATATCCGCGTAAATTCGAAATCAAATTTCTGGTATTACGTTTCATTACCTAGTCGCTCGTCATCATTTTAATTCATCAATCTCCGGCCAGAAACGGATCATCATCATCATCATCCATCGATTTGTTGTTCCTCCCTTCGTTGCTCCAGTTTCGGTTTAAATACGTCGCTCCTTCCATCCTGCGAGGCTATAATCGCGAATACGAGTAGACAGTGGTAGCAGATGGAAATGATCTTGTTGTTGGCTTTGTGGTAAACCGCGTTCAGTTGGATTCCCTGGATATGTACATGACTGATTGCGCGATCCTGCCACCGACCAGGATTTATTTCCAGATGTTTTCTGAACGATAAAGCTAATACACACACACACACACACACATACATCTATACAATACCGAATGCGATAAATATAATAATATTTTCACATCGAATGAAGGTAAAATACAGGATTCGCCTCGATTATTTTCGTTGTTAGCGAATCAATTAAATTTTCTTATGGATGGTATAATTTGGTAATTATTTAAAAGAAAAAAAGAAAAAGGATTTTAATGAGTTTTTCAAAATTCAATGGCATAAAGGATCATCATTTTCGAAGAATCGAATTTTGAATACTTTTGAAAATTTTACTTCGTTTAAAAAACTATTAACAAAGATTGTTCAGGTTAAGTAATTGCCAAATTAAGAAACTGACTCGAATGTTATTTAATTTGGATTTAAAATTAAATCAAGAACGAATATTAATTAATCGACGTCGAGTGAAAATTGAATTAATTTTCAATTTATAATTAAATTTTAGGTTAGATTTTTAAAACTTTCGCCTTGACAAAATATTAAAAAGAGGAATCATCGTTAAAGAATCGCTCATCAGGGAGGCCTTTTCTAAATATTTGCCAATTAATAAATTCTTACGATTCTCGCTTCTTCTTCACAATTATTTTCCAATATTCCTTTAATATCATAAATTTTTTCATTCGTACTTTTGGCACTTCGTTAAGAAGAGAGAGAGAGAGAGAGAGAGAAAATGCTGAAATTTCGAATCCGAACGATTCGAGCGTTTAAGCGGCTTAGCAAATTTTTCCACGCCTCTGTTGCAACATTGGCCCTGGTGTTTCGTTAACCCCATTCCCCAGCGTTTCCATTTAAACTTTCCAGAAGGCAGATTAGTCCATGGGATCACCTTTCCTTCTCCCGCATCCCCGCGATTTCGTCCGTGGAGAAATGGATTGAATTAATAAAAAGCGTTCGATTAGCGAATTCGAGACGACGCGTGCATTGATTATTGATTAAAAATGAATTTTCAACGAAACTTTTTATATTATAAATTCGATAGATTCTCGTTCATCAGGCGATGTGCTTCATTGATAAAGAAGGAGACAGGAGAATTTTGAACGATTGGGAAAATTGGATTAGACAATTTTTTAAAACGCAGAAAAAAAAAGAAGGGAAGAAGAAACACATTTCCATTAAAGAGCCATCGCCATCATTCGGTCTAAATGCAAATTATGTATATCGAGTTTTCAATAAATCCATTAGCATAAAATCGCATTATTTTCGCGCGAGTCTAACATTTTTATTGCGATTCCGCACACGTAAATTCCGGGAACAAAGTGAATTTAGCCTGTCGCCTATTATTTTCCGCGAAGTGGATGGAGGTTTTGTTTTTTTTTCTTTTCTTCTCTTTCATAAAAAAAAAACGCGGCCGTCATACTTTAAGTGCACGCAGTACGATGTATCGATATACCAGCCTCCAAGTTCACCACTTCGTGGCAACGCGGACGATTTTTTCTCTCTCTCTCTCTCTCTCTCTCTCCCCCTTTTTTTCCTTTTTTTTTTTTGCTCGTCGAGCTCTTCGAGCGGTGGTCGGACACGATCGTTGATTTGCATCGAATCGCAATCCCCGCCGAAGGAGAACTGAAATGAATTCGAGAGGGAATAAAAAGGGAAATGTTTCGATCGTAAATACCGTGGAGCAATATTGAAACTTGAAAGTAAATCGGTGTAGACGAAAGAAACATGACGTTTTAAGACTTACTTTGTTTTCTTTTTTTTCCTTCTTTCTTTCTTTTCTTCTTCTTTTTTTTTTTTACAATATTGAACGAACCTGGGAATAAATGGAAATACGATGAAAATATATGCGTAACGGTATAATAAAAATGAGAATCTTTTTGCAAAATATATGTATGTATACGAAAAGAGCACGATTCCTTCTAGATTAACGGGAAAAATAAGACGGTAGGGCAAGAATGAAACGCAATTGATTCTGTATAAACGGCTCCTCATCGCCTGGAAACATTTATCGCGTCGATAGCTCGCCACTCACCGCGCGATCAATCACTGTGTACGACTTAATGGACCGTTAAAAATGCACGGGGGTGCATTAGCGAAGTATGCGGCATACACGAGGTCTCCGATGAAGAGCGATCGATATCTCGTAGGGACATCGTGTCCTACGAGTGTCTGGTTAAATCGTGATTGAAATTAGTCCCGTTTCGTTTTTTCCTTTCTCCGTTCCTTCGATCGTATAATTATCAAATTTTTCCAAATTTCGTTGCTTACCTGTTAAAGTATCTTGATAAATTTGTGAACAATTTTTTCTTTTTTTTTTCTTTTTAATTCAAATTCAGCAAGGCTCCTTTCTTTTCCAGAAAATTCGACGGAACGATGCACGTATCCATCTTGGGTTGTGGACAATAAATTATGGTTAGCCCTGGATCCGGTAGCATCTCGCCTGCTGGCATCGCCTTACAATCTAACGATTCTCAATCGACAGGAGACCCGTCTCGTGTGTCACTCCGTCGTCCCTATTAATGATCGTCATTATCATCCAGATAGGGAGAACCAGGTGCAGTACGTTGCGAAGGCCACCCTTGATTGGTAAGTTTCTAAATTTCAAAAATTAAAAGAAACTCGTTTGCTCGAACGAAATTTCTTATGATTAAAACGAGATATACGAGAACTTTATGAATGTATACAATAGTCCAAGATCAAAAATGGTAGAGATCAAAAATGGTCCGGGATCAAAAAAGACTTACTTTGTTTCTTTTTTTTCCTTCTTTCTTTCTTTTCTTCTCTTCTTTTTTTTTACAATATTGAACGAACCTGGGAATAAATGGAAATACGATGAAAATATATGCGTAACGGTATAATAAAAATGAGAATCTTTTTGCAAAATATATGTATGTATACGAAAAGAGCACGATTCCTTTCTAGATTAACGGGAAAAATAAGACGGTAGGGCAAGAATGAAACGCAATTGATTCTGTATAAACGGCTCCTCATCGCCTGGAAACATTTATCGCGTCGATAGCTCGCCACTCACCGCGCGATCAATCACTGTGTACGACTTAATGGACCGTTAAAAATGCACGGGGGTGCATTAGCGAAGTATGCGGCATACACGAGGTCTCCGATGAAGAGCGATCGATATCTCGTAGGGACATCGTGTCCTACGAGTGTCTGGTTAAATCGTGATTGAAATTAGTCCCGTTTCGTTTTTTCCTTTCTCCGTTCCTTCGATCGTATAATTATCAAATTTTTCCAAATTTCGTTGCTTACCTGTTAAAGTATCTTGATAAATTTGTGAACTAATTTTTTCTTTTTTTTTCTTTTTTAATTCAAATTCAGCAAGGCTCCTTTCTTTTCCAGAAAATTCGACGGAACGATGCACGTATCCATCTTGGGTTGTGGACAATAAATTATGGTTAGCCCTGGATCCGGTAGCATCTCGCCTGCTGGCATCGCCTTACAATCTAACGATTCTCAATCGACAGGAGACCCGTCTCGTGTGTCACTCCGTCGTCCCTATTAATGATCGTCATTATCATCCAGATAGGGAGAACCAGGTGCAGTACGTTGCGAAGGCCACCCTTGATTGGTAAGTTTCTAAATTTCAAAAATTAAAAGAAACTCGTTTGCTCGAACGAAATTTCTTATGATTAAAACGAGATATACGAGAACTTTATGAATGTATACAATAGTCCAAGATCAAAAATGGTAGAGATCAAAAATGGTCCGGGATCAAAAATGGCCCGGGATCAAAAATGGTCCGGGATCAAAAATGGTCCGGGATCAAAAATGGTCCGGGATCAAAAAACTGTTCAACGAGATACAAACCGTTGCTTATTACTATAACTCGGATCTATAAATCAGAATTCGAGGCTAAAGATTTGTAAATCAGGATCAGAAAATATCCAATCAGGATATTTTCAGGATTCAAAGTTGTCAAAAATCCAAAGTTGAGAGTCCATGGATCTAAAATATATCAAGTCTATAATTGATCGGAACAGATCAGAATTTTCTCTGAAATTTGTAGATGTAGAATCAACTTCCGCAATGCATCGTGATCAATCACATGTATAATGTACTCGTCGCGTAATTCATACAACTTTCGGATCAAACGGTGAATTCGGGGCGACGAAAAAACTCGAATAAAAAATATGGAAAAGATTCGGAACGAATAAAGTATCGTTGTTCCCGCTCAGAGGCGACAACAAACAAAGGGTAACGAAGCGTTCACGCATAGAGGCGTCACTGTCTGGCGACAGATTTGGCGTGCAATTATAACGGTACGTCGCGATAATCCTTTCATCGCGTACCGAAGACACTCGTGCGCGCATAAATAAACAGCTCGGGTCGGATTAAACAAAGATCCTCCGGTTCGGTTGCTACACGCGGCGTAATGTCAATATATATACATATATATATATATATATGAAGTCTGCACTCAGCCGCTCTCTTCTCGTTGGAGCACTCGTGTGGAGTCAAGCTCGAGTCACGTAACGTATCGCTTTTAATCATCCGCGCCTTCTTATCTAGCACGTGTTGCTACTCAAATCTAACAACAGTTTTCAACGCAATGGAAAATTACAATTTCTTTTCTCTCTTCCTCTTTTTCTCCGTTTTCTGTTTTTTCGATGATCTTTCATTCGTTTTAAAGACAACTGTGAATTAACGTAGCAAATACGGTTAATCCTCGTTGAGTGGAACAAAATTTCGAATTATAATTATTATTAAGTTTTATATTTTAATATCTTACGTGTCTTTACGTATAAAGAAAGAAAGTTTGTCGAATATTAAAGTCTATTATTGTTTTGTGCGATATTTTAATAATAAAGGAATTACCAAGATGCATCCTCGATTTGTCAGGGCAAGTATCGCGATAAAATGTCTCTTTCATCTTTCTTATTTTATCGATTATTATTCTTATTTTTCCTTCTCTCTATCGTCAATTTCTTCAACGAATAAAAATAATTTCGTCATTTGATTTGACGAAAAATCAAACTCATCGGTTCGATCCGTGATCACGATCTAAATTAAAAGATAAAAAGATCCAACCATTCGATTCCACATTATTCCACACTTTATGTAAGATTATTACTTAAAGAGCTTAGGAATCTGAAATTCACGAAGCGATATTTCAAAAAAATCAAACGTAAATAAATATCGTCGCCGTTCGAATTGATCCAAGCAATGCTGGAGACTCACCATTGGAATAATGGGTTAATAACCAATGTCCATCACGAAGGACACGTAGAGAAAGTGACAAAAGGCAGTGATAAGATGTAAAATTAATCGCAATGATAATTTAAAATGGGAGGCGAGAACGAATGGCTATTGGCGAGCCAAAGAGAAAAAGACCCGTGTTCGGGTTTGTTCTCGCGCAAGTGGGTCAGGGTACACAAGTCAGACGAGTGGTAAGGAATCGTGTATGGTCGGACGTAGGTCCGTTCGAGCCGAGAATTAGTCTTCTTCCACTTCTTTTCTTTTTCTTCCTTTCATGTCGAAAGACTTAATGGTAGAAATTCCTCCTGGAGATTATCCGTCTTGAGAAACTACCCACTGTGGGAAACAGCTCTATTACTGGATTGAAATCAATTCTCGTTAATCGCGGGAGCAAATGAAATTTCTCTCGTACTACGAGCTGTACGTCACGTATAATCTACCTCTCTGCAAATGCAAATGCGGATATCCACAAAATTTATCGATTTTTCCTTAAAAAAAACAAAACTTCTAAAATCTTCCATCGAATCTTCAATATATATATATACCTGCAACATTTCAATTCTTCCCATCACCTAACCCTCCCGTCATCCGTCATGAAAATATAACTTTACAAGATCCGTGCATTGAATACGAAACAATGCCCTTCTCAGAGCTGGAAGAAAGTCTTGTTCTCCGATATATAGTTCGCCAAGTTTTACGCGAGATGGCGCATAATCGCGAGTATATTAAAGCGCGAGGAGATTAAGCCGAGAGATCCTGCGAGATTGGAGGTGGAAATCTGGATCCTCTGTAACGGTGGCTGACAATGGACCGTTCGAACGATATATATATATATATATATATATCGTGCCTTTTTTTGTTTCGATCTTACTAAACGGAGGCGAAAAGATGGAAAACGAACGAACGATCGCATTGTTGCGAGCGATGCAAAATTGAATTAGATCGATCGGGTGCAAGGGAATCGACGAAGGATAATGATTAGGCCGTGACTCGATTTAATCCTTCGATAAATCGAGGAGTTTCGTGGGGGGGAGAGAGGGGGGGGGGGAAGAACGGAGGTGTTGATGTGAAAAATTGAGTTCCGCCGGGGTCACGAGGGCTCTGAACGCTTCGACAAAGTGCTAATTTTTTTTTTTTTTTTTTGAGATGCAGTTCCATGCAGGAATTTTATTTTCGCAGACGCGAATGAAAAATATTAAAATCTTTATTTGGGAATGAAAGTTCACTCTTCGATTCGAATATTTAAAAAAGAAGAGGTGAAACTCGTTGGGATAAGCAACATCGTTCCGCCTTTTGTTCAAAGTAAATCTTTATCGAGATTGTAAAAATTCAGAGCACGATTGAAATAAATAATTCGTAATTTCGCGTTTATTTTAAAAAATAAAATTTCTTCTCTAGTCTCTGGACCTGAGATACCCGGTTTTGACGCATTTGATACATTTAAAAATCATCTATGAACGATATAAATTGAATATGAAATTTCATTGGTTTCGCGTCAGAGGAAAAGAATTGAAATTCTCCTCAGATGGATTAAAAAAAAAATAATAATAATTTCGATGCGCGCCCCTAGATTCGCTCAAGCAGATGCTCGCGATTTCTATTATGAAACTGCGTACAATCGTACAATTTTCGAAAATTTGTTGGTGTAACGTGAAAATTAATAACGCAAAATTATTGAAACGTGATATATCGACGAATATATGGAGAGATTAATTGTTTAAAACGAAAAGTGTTTCGAGCATAGCCGACTAGACCAGGGGACAATTAAAGCTTACTGTGAACGGTAATATCGCGATTACGATCCTCAATAGGATATTCACTTAATGAAACGAAGACAAATACTGACAGGACGAAAGTTGATAATTCCGCGCCCTTTTAATATCAATAATGATTTATTCATACCGTAAATCGTTACTCATTATACAACACAATTAATTCGACTGTAACGCGCATAATTAATTCCCCCACCCCCCTCTCTCGCCCCCTTCAACCTCCCCCCCTCTTCTGTGAACGATTTTACGTAATGCAAACATCATTATTTCAATTAATCGAACGCAGAATTAATTAAACGTCGAACGAATGTACCGAAAGAAACGAAACGAGAAAAAAAAAAAAAAAGAAAAGAAAGAAAAAAAAAGAAGAGGAAGAATGGAATATAGATGAAATTTGTTCAACTGTTAAAATTTCCTCTTCTGTTTAAATTTCAGCGAAGGAACTTCAACAAATCGCTTACCTTACGTCGAGTTTTCACAAAGTTCAAACGCGATTTACGTTTTTTATCCTTCTGTACAATTTCATCGGTTAGAATTTTCGATACTCTTTCCATCCTTTTTATCATTACTTTTTCCCCTTTCGATCTAATCGTTTTAAAT